CAGGGAACAGTGCCTGGGCAGCCACCCCCCAGCTGGATCAGGAGATGGAGGAGCACCAGTGGTGTTGCCAGATGGCGGCTTCGAGCTTCTGTAAGGTGAGGCAGCGTTACTCTCAGCAAGGCTAAGAAACTTTATGAGTCTGTCTATGGTAAAGGCTGAGACCTTTGTGCCTTCACACACTCAGTGTCCCCTCGTTACTGTTCACGGTGGGTCATCAGAACGCTCATCACTAAGTGCAGCGATTCCCTCCCGGACCTCGGACCAGGGTAACCTCTCCCCACAATACTAGAGCACTCTATTTTCATAGCAGAAAAGCAAGGCCAGAAAACGGGATTTTCACTGTTTGTCCCCTCTTAATGTGTTTTCTCACCTTGTACTCACTTCCATGCTTCTTCTTTGAGTCACCCAACCCAACCCTGCTACTTCCCAACGAATGACTACAACACCTGTGCCTGCATCTCACTTGCTATGTAGGGCTCTACTGGAGGTGGCTGGATCTAACTATTGTACTATGCATTTGCTTTCTGTTTTCTCTTATGAATCCGTAGGCCTCCAGACTTCAAGTAACGTGCTCCAGGTGGCCCACAAACGGAGAATGCTTCAGGTGAGGCTGCCACTCTCACCCACAGCGTGACCAAAGCAGTGCTACCTTGTAAGAACCACACACTGCACCCTGGGGGCCAAAAGAGAGCAAAAGTCTAAGAAATTTTAATAGAGATACTTATCTCAATAGCACAACTGTCTCTTCTTAGGGACAAGCAAGTTGCTGTCTGATTTGGTTTGGTTTTGGCCTGCATCGTCTGTGGCATTTTCATAGCCCTTGCAGACTTAGCTAACCTTCCATCCAAACCTCTCTGCTTCCCTCACTGCTCTGCTCTACTGTCCCACATAGCTCTCCTCCACCTTAAATGCACTGATTGGGTTTTCAGCTGGCAAGGATATCAAAGCAATTCATTATCTTGAAATGTCAAGATACCAAAGAGATCGAGTCTTTAGAAAAACGACTTTAAAATCTATAGGATTTTATCTGTTGTTTTGTTTCCAAACATTATATATACCATAAACTACTGTCCATAACGATCATGATGAGGATACCAACGCTGAAATCTGCCGCAGCAAACGCGTGTATAGACCTTGATATGAACCAGATCCCGACTTAGTGATGTGCCTGTATTGACTCGTCACCTCACAGTCTCTCGTGCACCTGAGACATCATGTTCTATCCAAGCACTGATCCAGTGTAATCAGGATAAGCTGTCTTACACATTCACCTGTCTTTTGAACCAAAGGACACTGGACACTGAGGTGCACTGCAGTTTATGGCCAAATCCCATGTCTCTGTATGTTTTTCTCTGACCTGGATTTAACCCTGACCTTGCCCTTGCTGAGTAGGTGGCTCTGGGTAAGTTACTTCACCCCTTAACCTCTACGGGTCTCAGTTTCCTCATCTGGATGGAACAAGGGACGATACCCTTAAAAACACTTACCTCACAGTGCTGCAGTGGATACTCCATGAATTTTAAAGTCATTGCTGTAGGGAAAGAGCTAAAAACAAATCCAGGCCTGTAGTAAGCCTCCTGAAGTGTGAGCTTGTATTCCTGTCTCTTTCCTTCTGCTTGTATCCATTATCCTTCCCTCCTGTTTGCTACTCCTTCTCTCTGCCTGCCCCCTGCACACTTTCACCTCATCCCCCACTCCCATTCTCTCCTCACTGCACCTTTCCTAAGACTCTCCAAACACACTGTTTACCACCTCCTCATGACTCAGTTCAGAAGATACTAATACACCAGCCTTTTGTTAAATGAATAATGAATACGAGTGGAAGAAAAACAAATGTTACTGATGAAAACTGGACTGTTAACAGCTTCGTATCTTTACCAGACTCACATCTCCCCAACAGACTGAACTCCCAATAGGAGTTCAATACAACTAATGGCTGTAGAAGCCACCACATGATGAGGTCCTTGGCCTTTACATTTCACTCTTTGAAATGTTTACGCAAATTTATACACTCGTGTTCTATCATCATGCAGTGACCACTTCATTTTCCAAACACTGTACAAAATGTGCAAACAGGTCATTCGTTCTAATTTCCTAGAGAAGTTTCCATTCAAGTTTTCCATAGGAGCCCACGATGATGGAACCAAGCATTGCATTTAGGCTTCCCAATGGCCCATAAGGAGAGCTGAATACTCGTTATGCTAATAAAAACACGCCCTCCACCGTGCCCCACAGACTCAATTCCTGAGTCCCCAAGGAGCCGAAGTGATAGTGCTAAGTCCTTCCAGTGAGTCAAAGGTAGTCTTGACACCATCTGTCCAGAACATGCTTCCCGGAAATGTGGGAACAACAACAGTAACAACAACAGCTAGAATTGATCGGCAATTTGCCACATGCCGGGCACTGTCCTGATGACTTTTTTTGTCTTAACACAGTCAGTACTCTAAACTGCCCCCAAGAAGTAGCTACACTTACTACTAACTAGTGTTTCCACGTTGCTAATGGAAACGAGGCACACAGATGTTAAGTAACTTGCTCAGTGGCATCCGGCCGTAAGTGGTGCAGGCCCACGTTGCAGAAAAGTCACTGTACTGTGTACTTGTTCAGTCAATATTAGGATCCAAGGGCCACTGCAAAATATTTAGAGTTACACCTAACATATAACACAAACTGATTTTATAGCACGGAACTGCATGGTATACAGAAATTTGATTTCAACAGCAATCACTTAGATGGAAGCTTGACAGGGACTGGATTCAGGATACTCTGTGGAAACAATACTCTCCGAGCCTTGTTAGTACAGCAGACAGCACATCAGTCTCCTAGCTGAAGTTCTTGGGTTTGTGCATCAGAGAAGGCACCAAACTGTTGTCACTTCTGCACCCTCACAACAATGGAGAGAGAAGCCAGGCAGCAGAAAAACGGGACCACTGACTGCCCTGCTGCAGTAGTTCCCAGACAAGGAGTCCTCCTAAGTCAGAACCCAAGAAGTTTTTAAAAATGCACATGCTATGATCCATACCCAGTGAATCTCATTTAGCGTGGTCACAATGTTAAGAATCTGTGATTTTTAAAAAAATGTTTATTTATCGAGAGAGCGCTCACGCGAGAGCGAACATGCACGTGAATCGGGTAGCAGCAGAGACAGAGGAAGAGAGAGAATCCCAAGTAGGCTCTGCACTGTTAGCATGGAGCCCAATGCGGAGCTCATTCTCATGAACTGTGAGATCATGTCCTGAGCCGAAATCAAGAGTCGGATACTTAACCAACTGAGCCACCCACGCACCCTAGAATCTGTGATTTTTAACTCTGCCTAGGAAACTCTCAAGAACTTTATTAAATCCCTGTGGCAGCAAGCCTGACTTCAATGTACTGACTCTTTCCAGACAAACACACACATGAGAGACCAATCTGAAAGCACACAGAAAGCAGAACATAATGAGCACAGCCTGAGACTCAAACCAAGGGCAGGGCAGATTTTCTGAGAGGACATCACGACCCCACTGGACGTTCTCCATGAAAGCTTCGGTCTATCTCAAATCCATTCTCTTCGTGGCCAGTGGGTAGGGTTGGTGACAGAAGATGACATTAAGTTCTCCTGATGGCACGGGCTTTTTTTGAGGACCACGTAAACCATATGATGTGAGGTTATGCAATCTATTCTCCCCATGTCCTCGCAGCCTTTGGTTCATTCTTACACCCACACTCCACTCCACGTCAGCCTGGCGCAACCAGAACTTGGGCGCATGTCTTCCCTTCACCTATCAAAAACCTGCCTTTGACCTTAGGAGATCATCTCCCTCTTGTCCTTTCAGCTGTCCTGTGACATCATCTGCTGTCCCGAACAGGACAGAAGCTTAAAGCCCTTGCCCAGCCCCTTACTCTGGTGTCCATACCTAGAAAGGCTTGTCATCAATGAGGAGGAGAACCCCAGTCCCAGGAGCTAAGAGCCAAGACGAGCACAAAACCATCCGGGCGTGGACATTCCACGGCAGTGGTGACCTCTGAAATGAAGCTTTACCTCACATCTCAGCTGTCCCTGAAACACGTTCTTATCACAGAAAGCAGGCAGAGGATGAGGGTGCCCGGAATCCTTCCCAGGGAGTACTTCCTGGGAGTACCATGCTGCCATGGTATTTCCTCTCACCAAATCCAGGCAAGGACCAGCATATTATGTGGGTTATAACCACAATGGCACATTTTGAAAATTTCAGAGGGAGACTGTGATTGCTGAAGTGATTAAAGGGAAGTATCAGTATTTAAAAAGGGAAAGTTTCAGGGAGGCAAATCTTTTTGACAGAGACTTACATAAGGTGGATTTTCCATAAATGTTAACTTCCCTGTAAATTGAGGGATACTTGCATGTTGTTTTACCTGGGAAGGTACCAATAATCCTTGACTGTTTTGTAAAATACATCAATGAAAGCAATTCTGTTCATGGCTTTGCGTCTCATACAACATGCCAGTATCACTTGATATCTGTGGCTGTGCGTGCAGGAAATAGAATGAGGGGAACCCAAGTGTACTGACCGGATGGGTCTTCTCCAGGTTATGCTGTGAAAGGACCGGAGGAATTAAGTGGGAGATGTTCACAATGTGATCTGCCAGCGGTCACTGAACATTGCCACTTTGTTTCCATATCTGTCTCCCTCGTGCTGCCTCGTGGAAGGTTGGAAACACACCTCTTGGTGTCTTCAGGCCAGAGGACCTGACACTCGGCAGAAGGCCAGTCCACACTTGTGGAATTGAAGTCAAATGGGAATGAACGGACCTAGTGTCATGATGATGAACCACACAGATGCCGGTCTGCAGAGGGCAGGAGGGACGTGCCACAGGTCTCAGTCTTAGGACCAATGCGGTAGGGTAAGACCAGCCTGCAGGACTGATCTCCATCACATCCCTCAGGGGTCCTAGATTTAACCAGTTAAAACAATTTGCACTAACCACAAAGGTCTAATGTAGAAAAACAGGTAACTTACTGCTTAGTTTTTTGTACGAACCTTCTTTTTAGCTGGCCTGACGCACAAATTCAGGCACAGCACACACCGGTCGAGAAGCAGAACCTGACCTGAAAGTCTTCCAGGCTGAGGCAGTGTCGGGCTGGTCAGGGCACACACACAGGAAGGGTAATCCTAGCGGGCACACGTGATTCTCCTGAAACAGAGTTTACAATCGTTAGGGAGCCCAGAGCTGGACATACACCGAATCCGGCAACACGGCTCACCGGGGCCTCAATGTGGCCTCCCGCCACAGGCCTTCCCCTCTAGGACTCCCTGTCCACTTGGAATATTCATTTGAGCCCTTGGTTTTAGAGGGATGCCTGGAGGCAGTTATTTCCCAAAGTTGTGTCTGTCCATGACACCAGTTCATCCTCTCTCTGAGGGTGGAGGTCACGTGGAGGTGCCATGCGTGCAACGCCCAGGAGCTGGGGCCACCCCTGCTGTCCCACAGTCAGAGCTCTGGCAGGTATGGCTCGAGGCTCAGGAGTCAATTTGCATTCGCAGTGCTCACAAAGGCTTGCAAAGGCTGCACTGAGAGTGTTTCCTTAACAAAAAATAGAAAATTTCCAAGAATAGTCTGGACAGACACAGGCCATTAACGTCCTCGCCTCTTCCCTCTGCTTCTCCCCAGGTGCCAGGTTTGTTTTCTCCACTGTTACAAAATCAGTGCGTACAATTCTGAAACTGAACTTTTCCGTGTCTTTATTTATCCCCTGCTCTCCTCCAAACCTTTTGTAAGGAGGGCCTGTTAGCAAAAGGGACCAAAATATTTTCATAGAAAACTCTATTACATAACGAGAAAGACTCATGATCATTAGGAATTGTTCAGGATGAAATTCTGAATTTTCAAAATTTTCAAAACGGGTTTACATCACCTCCTGTCCCTTTTGTCTCTCTCCTTTATCCAGCAGCCAGGCTAGAACAGGTCATACCCTTGCTGGGGGCAGCTGCTTTGAACAGTGGCCCTGCCTAACATCTTACATCAGCTTTCTCAGACATCCAGGCACCAACAGCCACAACGTACAAAGCCACTTTTAAATCCTCCCTTTTCGCTCTCACTGCAAGTTTACTGAAACTCCTAGCAGTAAGTGGACACTTACCGGGTGACCATACAGGGGACATCCTGGTTGGAATGCTGGGAGGCACAGCCACAGCAGCAGTAAGCCAGCTGAAGAAAAGGCTGGAATGCCTTCCCCTCCGTCTTTGCCTCTAGTTTATGTAAAGCTTTTTCTAGCCCAGGCAACCAATTAAATTTGTCTTCTCCCACGTGCAGGAGACAGCAAGTTAAACTTTCAACATTTTTGTTCACCTTTGGGAAGGTCTGGATCCTTTTCCCTGGCCTCCAGAGAATAAAGACCCAAGTCATAAGTTGGCTACACTTGTTCACCTCATATCATCCAGCATGGCTAAAGCAGCCAAGGCATGCAGTGAGCCAACACTCTTGGACTTGGACCTTTTATTTTTGCATTCCGTGTGTAACATTTACCTTTCAGAACAGCTCAGCTGCTCTTTCATATCGTGGGCACATCCATAGTCACTGAGGCACAAGCAGCTTATCATCTCTACCGTGCCATCCTTTCTTTACGCAAAGTCTTCCACCATATTTTAGTGAGTCAGGGTTTTCCTGCTAGTGAGTCCCATGGCTGCCACCATGGTTTCGGAGGTCCCAAGACCACCCTTGCTTCTGCTGCATCCCCAGGAGGACGTGAAGGTCATCCTCAGGGCTAAGATTTATTACAGCAAAAGGACAGAAAGCAAAATTGCCCAGGGGAAATGGTGCCCTGGGTAACATCTGGAGGAAACCAGTGCAAGCTTCCAAGAGTCCTTTCCCAGGAGAGTCACACAATTTGTGCCTTCAGCAACAAATCATGATAACTCATGTGAAATGCTGTCTACCAAGGGTACCTCGTGAGTAACACAGCGTCAGAGGTTTGGGATGGAGGCTGGTCACGTAGGCACTGTCTGCCCAGCACAGACCAAGATTTCAGATTCCCAGAAGGAAAGGTATTTTCATAGATGTCTATGTGTTGAGATGTTTCATAGATGTTTAACATGAAACATATTGTTTGGACAGTTTAGGAAGAATAAAGCACCCTGCTCAGGTAGGGAATGGTGGGAAACTTTCTGAAATTCAAGTTCCCGGATGCAAGATAAGGGCCAACATGCTGATGTTTGTAAGCACAGTAGTTTCAGGCCTACTATGTTAACTCTTCTCTGCACAACACCCAATAACAAAGCTTCGAAATATATAACCAAGTCAGACAGAACTGAAGGATAAATGAACAAATCTACAAGTAACAGTTATAGAAGTCAACACTCTCTCAGTCATATGCAGAAGGAATAGAAGGAAAATTAGCAATATGCGGATGAACTGAACACTGTGAACTACCTGGATGTAACTGACAAGTATAGAACCCTTCACATATGGAAGTTTCACCAAGGTGGACTGCATCTTGGGTCACAAAACACATATTAGAAGTTATAAAATAGTTGAAATCATACAGAGAATGTTGCCTGAGCAAAAGAAAAAAAAAAACCCAATATGTAAGAAAATGTGAAGAGGAAAATCTCCAAACACAAGGAAATTACACGATACATGTCTAAATAATCCCATGGTGCAAATGGCAAGGCTCAAGGGAAATTAGAAAATATTTTGGATACTAACCCTTTATCAGATGAACTGAATGCAAATGAAAATACAACATATCCAAATTTGCAGGATGCAGCTACAGCAGTACTTAGTGTTAAATGTACCGCATCAAATGTTTGTATTAGAAAGAAGAAAGGACCCACGTTAATAATGAAAGCTTCCACCTTAAGAAACTAGAAACAGGACATAAAAATAAAGCAAGCAAATAAGAAAAACAGGATTTAGAGCAAATATCAGGAAAAGAATAGAGATAGTCAATGAAACCAAAAGCTGGTTCTTCGAAAAGGTCAATAAAATTCATAAATTTCTATCCAGACTGACACAAAAAGAAAGATAAGTAAAATAAAGACACAACTTACCAATATCCAGAATGAAATAGGTTACAGAATCCAGAGAATCTGAATGGATTCTAACAAATAATCTATGCACTTACATTTGGTAATTGAGATGGAACAGAACAATTGCTTGAAAGACACAAACTATTAAAGCTCAACCCAAACAAAACAAAACCAAACAAAACCAAAAAAACAAAAAACCACCACCCAGGTAACCTGAAAAACATACATATATTTCTAAAATATCATTGTTAAAAACTTTCAGGAAAGAAATCTCCAGGCCCAGACGGTTTCTCTGGAAAACTGTACCACACACTTAAGAACAAGTAACAGTGTGCTATCAACAACAGCCAAATTATGGGAAAAGCCCATATGTCCATTGACTGATGAATGGATAAAGAAGAAGTGGTACATATATATACAATGGAATACTACTCGGGGATTAAAAAGAATGAAAGCTTGCCATTTGCAACAATGTGGATGGAAGTAGATCGTATTATGCTAAGCAAAATAAGTCAGTCAGAGAAAGACAAATACCATACAATTTCACCCCTATGTCAAATTTAAAAAACATAACAGATGAACACAGAGGAAGGGAAGCAAAAATAAGATAAAAAC